CATGATACAATTCCAGATACTGACAGATGACATAAGCAGAAATTAAGCAAGGATAAGTGTATAAGGAATGATGGAGGAAAGGGCACTTTTGCTAGGGTAGCCAGAAAAGGCTTTGTTGAGATGGCATTTGAACAAAGATGTGAATTAGGTGAGGAAATGAGACACTCAAACATTAGGGAAACAAGCTCTAAACAATGAGAGCAGCAAGTGCAAAAGTCCTGAGGTAGGAGCATTCTAAGCTTTTTGGAGGTACAGCAGGGCCAGTTCTGAGAAGAATAGTAGGCAGGAATGAATACAGATTTTGTATATAAAATTTATAGGGAAAGGTCCTCTTAGGAAAAAAAAATTAAATCTGAGTACAAAATTGAGTACGGGGCCTTGAAATGGTCTTATAAGTAAGGCTCCCTAAAGGTAATGCTCATTTCAGTGCAGTTGCTTATGTTGGTAGAAGAGGCAGTGCTAACTCAAACCATGCCTCAAAAAGCCACGGCTATGACTTAGAGTTTCATTTTAACGGTGATGGGAAGCTACTGGAGAGTTCTGAACAGGGATGTAAGGTGATCTATTTAAGTTTTACAAGGATCCATATGTGCTAGCAGGCTGTAAAATCTCAACACACTGGCAAGTTGCACTATCCTCTTCTGAGCAAAGCAAACAAAAATAGATAAAATAGGTCAATGGGACATACTAAAAATTCAAAACTTATGTGCATCAAAAGACTTCATCAAAAGAGTAAAAAGGAAGAACACAGAATGGGAAAAAATCTTTTGTAACGACACATCAGACAAGGGACTAATTTCCAAAATATACAGGAACCTACAACACCTATACAAGAAAAGGACAAATAACCCAATTAAAAAATGGGCACAGGACATGAATAGACACTTCACTAAGGAGGAGATCTGGGCAGCCAACAAACATATGAAAAAATGTTCATGATCACCAGCCATTGTTGTTGTTATTAAGTGTCATTGAGTCGGTTCCGACCCATAGCGACCCTGTATAGGGTTTCTCAGGAGTGACTGATGAGCTTGAACCACTGACCATGCCATTAGAGAGATGTAAATAAAAACAACAATGAGATATCATCTCATACCAGCAATGATAGCAAAGATCAAAAAAAGTAGAGGACAATAAGTGTTGGTGAGGATGTGGAGAGACTGGGACCCTCCTACATTGCTGGTCAGATTGCAAAATGCTCCTCCCACTCAGGAAAACAATATGGTGCTTCCTCAGAAAGTTGGAAATAGAGATACCATATGATCCAGCAATT